TGCGAGTCCTGCCTAGAAGGTAAGATGACTAAGAGGCCGTTTTCGGCAAAGGGGCGTAGGAGCCAAGAAGTGCTAGGATTGATTCATTCTGATTTGTGTGGTCCTATGTCGGTCCAAGCTAGAGGAGACTATGAGTGTTTCGTCACTTTTATTGATGATTATTCTAGATATGGATACATTTACTTGTTGCACCGCAAGTCCGAATGCTTTGAGAAATTCAAGGAGTATAGGACAGTTGTGGAGAAACAACAAGGTAAAAGTATCAAATGTCTTCGATCTGATCGAGGAGGCGAATACCTCTTTGGAGAGTTTAGGACATACCTATCAGAAGCAGGGATTGAATCCCAGCTTACTGCACCCGGCACGCCCCAGCAAAACGGGGTTGCAGAGCGAAGAAACAGAACTCTAATGGAAATGGTTTGGTCGATGATGAGTTATTCGAAGTTACCAGATTCGTTTTGGGGATTTGCATTAGAGACAACATGTTACATTCTGAATTATGTTCCTTCAAAGTCAGTAGACAGTACTCCTTATGAGTTGTGGAAAGGGCGCAAGCCTAGTTTCCCACAAATTCGAATTTGGGGTTGCCCTGCACATGTCTTAGTGCAAGAGGCTGGCAAGTTGGAGAAACGATCAGAAGTGAGACTGTTTGTCGGCTATTCCAAGGAAACGAAAGGTGGTTTATTTTATAGTCCTGAGGATCAGAAAGTGATCGTTAGTACGAACGTTAGATTCTTGGAAGAAGACTATATCATAGATCATAAGCCCAGTAGTAAACTTGTCCTAGAGGAGTTAGGGAGAGATATCGATAGTTCCCCACCGAGTGCGCACGTAGATACATCACATAGTATTGCAACACGTAACACTGATAGTGTGCCAGTACAGACGGTACCTCGTCGTAGTGGGAGGGTTTTTACACAACCCGACCGATGGATAGGTCTTGGAGAGTCATCAGACTCAGTTCCAGGAGACCTAGAATCGGACCCAAGAACTTATGACGAGGCACTCCAAGATAGAGATGCAAATTAGTGGAAGGTTGCAATGAAAGCTAAGATGGGGTCAATGGACACCAATGAGGTCTGGGATCTTGTAGAACCACCCGATGGGATACGTCCCATTGGATGCAAGTGGGTTTACAAGAGAAAGAGGGGATCGGATGGAAAGGTGGAAACATTTAAAGCTAGGCTTGTTGCGAAAGGTTATACCCAGAAAGAGGGTATCGATTATGATGAGACCTTTTCGCCAGTAGCTATGCTTAAATCCATTCGGATTCTCTTGGCTGTAGCCACTCATATGGATTATAAAGTGTGGCAGGTGGATGTTAAGACGGCTTTCCTTAATGGGAACCTTCAGGAAGAC